CTAACTTCCTTTATTGTAAATAAATAAAAGACGAGCTCTTGTCCTGCCTACCTCCTTCCTCAGGGCTGTGGAGTGGACAGTGGACTGTCCAGCTGGTCCTCATGATCCTCACAGCTCAGGGACTGAGCCTTTAGAAAGGTCTGAGCTTCAGTCTTGTTTCTCCAGTAACAGTTAGAAGACGCGTTCTGACACGCGAGGGTTTCACTGGATCAGCTTTGAGTTTTCTATCATCTTCTGCACAGGGTTCACGATCACTGAGGCTCAACGTGTCTGAAACAGAAATAAAGTTTCCACAGCAACTCGTGTGGCATAGCTCCGTGATTTCATACGTAAAAAAAAATATTATGTAATTTTATTACGGACAATTTTTTCTAATTCTAAATTCTTAATTTATTCATTTATATTTTTTACGTTAATATCCAAATACATCTCCGAAGTCTACATATGCACACGTAAATTGTATTTTTGTTGGGTGATCCACAATAATGTTTTGATTCCTAAATACATTACTTTTTAAAATAGTCATAAAAAGAACACATTTGTGCATAACGCAATGTATAATAGTAAGTCATGACTCATTACATTCATCAAAATGTTTCAATTTTAACAAGAGTCTTAAACACAGCCTATTAATATATAGTAGTTTCGAAAAATAATCTAGGATATATATTTTAATGTTAAAGGATTAAGCGAACAATGTAATATCCAATAAATCAATTGGACATGTCGACATTTAAAGCTGCAGTAACAACGTGACAAGCGATGTCAGAAGGTGACATTTCACAGTGTAGCCGCAAGCCAGAGACATCACTAAACATGTCTATGAGGGGCTGGTTTAAAGGAGCCCTTTTCAGTTTCCAGCTGTTTTCCACTGACAGTGATGTCATCTATATCCAGTCCAGCTCCTGGCCCTGAGTGACACAACAGACACCAGTTCCAGGCCAAGAGTCTCAGACTGGTCTAGTGATGAGCTCATTCCCCAGATGGGCTGGGTGGAAAACCTGGAAGCTTTTTAGGCTGCTTGGCTTGTACCTGTGGTTCAACAGGAAGTAGTGACTTGTCCATCTGGATTGTTTCACAAAGGGTTAAAAGGCTATGTCCCTCTCAATGTGCAAAAGAGTTTAGGAGATGACAGGCTGCACAAATAACTACTGTAAAAAGCATCTGAACAGTACCCAGAAGATTAAAAATATAATATCCCCATTGTGCCCAAGTCTCTCAGGCAACTTCCTTTTTGTGGCTGATAATGTACAATTAATAAACTGGAAGAGCTGAAACAAAGCGCTGGTTGTCCTGCTGAAGTAGCACGGATGAGTTGTGCAATCAGGAGCCATGTGTTTGAGTAACAGTTCTTTCTTGCCCGAGAGAGCTCAGTCCTCACACCAGCCACCATGCCCACAGCCTCTTCTGTTCAGAGAAACTATTACAGTTTTTTAATCTGCACTCTGCTTCAGAGGCAGAAACCAGTGAGCCTGAAGCCACAGCACAGCCACCTGCAGAAGCATTCCTCCACCCAGCCTCCCTGCACTCAGGCTCAAAGCATTTGTGAGGTGGAAGCTGTGTGCTTTAACATAGTAACCATTATCCTACAGTTCTGCAAAAAGTGAGAAAAATGCACACTAAGACACAGTTCAACATTGAACCCCTGAACAAATCTCGGTTAATTGTCTTATATCCAACATTCCATAAATTTCAGCAACTGAACTCAGTGCAGGTTTACTCAGCCTTTCTCACAAACTCAAAAGAAACCTTTTGCCTTCTTTAACCAATCCATTGGTGGGAAAACAGCATTGGAGACCAGCTCAGGTCTTCATTCCAGACCAGGTCCTATTCGAATGACTGAGAATACATGGGCATAGAAAGATGAGTTGTGTGTGCAGGTGAAGAATACTGGGGCACCCCAGCACTGATCCACAGCGGAGGTCCCCACCCCTAGTCCTGGACCCCTGATCCACAAGGTAGGGTACTGTAGGTCACCATTCACTCACCACATTCTAAAGACTAAAGGAATAGTTCCCTGCCGGGCCAGGAGAGGACACCGTCTTGGCTGGGAGAGATCCAATGCTTACATTTTCTAATCCTATCCCAGCAAGCAACAGGCACAAGGCAGGTTACACCCTGGTCAGGACACCTAACTGAATTTGCTGGCCTGACAATTTTATCCAGTGCCACTTACATTTATACACCTGGACATGTGAAGGGAGCGATAGGAGCAAAGCATCTTGGTCAGAGGATTGTCCCACCTGGACTTTGAGCAACTTTCCAGTTCCCAGTCGAGCCCCATAGACTCCATTCCAAGTATCAGTATCGCCTGTTCCGAGAATGTCACTTCCTGGCCCAGCAGCCACTGCAACAAAAAGATGACAAGAGAGGGGGTGACATTCAGTCTCACCTGTTCACTTGCAGCTAATCACTCCCAGAATATTGTGTAGTTAACCCCATTTCTTCAAATTGGTGACTGCATTAATATAGCGCTTTTCTGGACACTCCACTCAAAGCTCTTTACAGGTCATGGGGATCCCCTCCACCCCCACCAGTGTGCAGCCCCACCTGGATGATGCTCCAGTCCTCTCCCCACACACCAGCTCTCAGTGGGGAGGAGAGCAGAGTGATGAAACCAGTTCAGAGATGGGGATTATTAGGAGGCCATGACTGGGAAAGGCCAGGGGGAAATTTGGCCAGGACACTGGGGTAACACCCCTACTCTTTTCAAGAAACACCCTGGGATTTTTAATGACCACAGAGAGTCAGGACCTCGGTTTTATGGCTCCTTTTCACAGTATGGTTTCCTCATCACTATACTGGGGCATTAGGACCCACACAGACTGCAGGGTGAGCGCCCCCTACTGGTCCCACTAACACCTCTTCCAGCAGCAGCCTTAGCTTTCCCAGGAGTCTCCCATCCAGGTACTGGCCAGGCTCACACTGCTGAGCTCCAGGGGGGCTGCCAGCTGGGAGCTGCAGGGTGATATGGCTGCTGGCAACACTCAATCTGAAACGAGTCGTTCGATATGAATTTGCTTTAGCACCATGATGGGGGATACTCCTATAAATTCTGATTCCCATGCTTGAAGGGGTTAAAGCTTTTCTGACAGGTAAGGTTAGCACCGCTCCTGCTCTCTAGGGGTTAATTTTGCCTGGAAGTATACAGTGGATACAAAAGTCTACACCCCCTTTTCAGCATTTGTTGATGTAAAGGCTGACCTCAAGACATATCATGTCAGACTGTTTTTAATAAGATCTTGGAACCAACAAAGTTAAAAGCAAATGGAGCAGTTTTAGGGAAAATATATATTTAAAAAAAAAACTTTCAATGCCTTGGTTGCACACGTGTACACACCCTTTAATTAATACTTCATGGAAGCACTTTTGCTTTGATTACAGCAGGAAGTCCGTTTGAATAGTCCCTATCAGCTTAGCACACCTGGATTTTGCAAGTTTATCCCACTCTTCTTTGCAGAAGAGTTCAAGCTCAGTCACATTGGGAGGGGAACGAACTCCTGTGCACAGCCCTCTTTAGGTCAGTCCACAGATTTTCTATAAGATGGAGGTCTGGGCTCTGACTGGGCCTTTCCAAGACATTGATCTTCCCGTTTTTAAGCAGCTCCTCTGTTGAGTTGGCCGTGTGCTTTGGATCGTTCCCATGTTGAAAGGTGAAATTCGTCTTTAACTTCAGCTTTCTAGCAGAGGCCAGCAGGTTTGGCGCCAGATATCTTGATAATCGGAGCTGTTCATTTCCCCCTCTATTCCAACAAGAGCGTCTGGCCCCACCAAAGAGAAGCAGCACCCCGTCATGATAGTTGAGGTGGGGAGCTGCGTCAGCATGCGTAGGCTGCAAAGGAACAAGTAATAGGTTTATCCCATGCTGAACAGAGAAGAAAGAAAACAACGTTTCGGCTGTGAGCACTATCCCTCACACCCGAAAAAGGCTCTACAGCCAAAACATTGCGTTTTCTTTCTTCTCTTTCGGCATGGAATAAACCCATTACTTGTTCCCATATCATGATGGTGCCACCACCATGCCTGACAGCTCAACACCCAAAGAACACAGTACCTGCTCTGTTGACTTTGCACCCAACGGATCATTTGGAATTAAGATCAAAAGGTCTTGCCACCCTACCCATAGCTCAGACTTGGAGAACACACAAAATGGTTGGAAAATGCAGGGAGTGGCCAGTTACGGCCATAAATCCCTGCAGCTCCTTTAAGGCTGCCTGATGGTAGCCTCCCTGATGAGCTTTCTCCTTGCCCGGTCATCAATTTTGAAGGGATGTTCTGATCTTTGCACTGTCCTGGTGGTGCCCTATTTCCTCCACTTCTTAACAGTGGTCTTCACAGTGTTCCATGATATACAGTGTGTAATGCCTTTGAAATTCTTTTATATCACTCACCTGATCTGTACCTTTTAATAATAAGATCCCATAGATCTTCTGCTAACTCCTTGTGAGCCATGGTTATCACTGCACTCTGCAACCAAGAAACCTTCAGGGAACTCCTGCAGGAACAGCTGATTTTATTTAGGGCTAATCAGAACCACTTCAGCTGATGTCAGGTGAAGGCAAATTACCTTTGTACATGATCTGGAACTTGACTGGTTAAATCTGAGCACTGTAACAACCCACTTTATAAAGGGCGTGGACATTTATGCAATCAATCAATCACTTATGCATGCACTGAAAGTTTTTTTTTATTATTATTTTTCCTAAAAATGATCCATTTGTTTTTCACTTGAATATTGTTTGATTACAAGATCTTATTGAAGGTGAAAACAGGTCTGACTTGATTTATCTTGATTTCAGCCTTTACATCAACAAAAGCGGAAATTTCAGTAAGGGTGTGTAGACTTTTGATATCCACGCTAAGTCACGTTTCTCAGTCACGTCCTCACTGCTTCCGAAGGGTTGTTGTTGTTTTATTATTATTAAGTCAAGCGATATTTAGTTGGCACGAGTTTCACCAATAGTGCAATGTATGTCTTAATATGTATTTTAAGTTAAATACTTTAGCTATATTGTAATGAAAACATAAGAAAGGTTACGAATAGCCAGCTTGGAAGTTAGTAGTTAACAGATCCAAGGATCTCATCCAGCCGTTTCTTGAAAAAGGCCAAAGTATCGGCTACAATCACAAGGTTGAGCAGCTTGTTCCACACACCCACCTCTTTTTGTGTAAAGAAGTTCCTCCTGTCCCGATTGGAGTGTCTCATGCAGTCGTTTCTCCAAAGAAACCAGGCTATTGGCTTAGCATGGGCGGGTAAATAGCCCCACACTCCCACAACCCTTTGTGTAAAGAAGAGTTCTCGGTTTGAAGTCCACTTCCACTTAGTTGAAGCTTGGTTCGCGGTTCACTGTTCACCCGGAAGAAATCCTCTTGGTTCATTGACTTCATTAAACCCCCCCCAGCATGTCTTTGGGCTGGGGCAGGAAACCAGAGCACCCAGAGGAAACCACCCGGGTATGGGGGAGAACATGCAAACTCCACACAGACAGCACCCCAGGGATTGAACCCAGGGTCCCAGTGCTGCGAGGCAGCAAAAGTGACCACTGAGCCACCACGCTGCCCCGATTTCTATCGTATTAGCATACACATATTGGAGCTTGTGATCAGTGCCGATATTGTAAAGAGCTTTAAGTGCAGTGTCCAGAAAAGCGCTATATACTGTAAGTGCACAGAATCATGATAATTAATACATAGTGTAGAGCAATAATTCTACGATCTAAGTGGGTAGGAAATCGCGCTTGCAGCACCCGGTCTGTGTGTAAGAGGAGTGGGAGAAACAGCATCCGAGAGAGAGAGCCCGCCAGCCACAATTTAAAATCTCACCCTTCCGCTTCCTTCCGAGAGCACCCACAAACGTAAAATCAATCCCTTCTCTTGCTACAGACACTGCCAGCCATTTTATAGCCCTGAAAAATCCCCCCACAATATTCCTATTTTTTTTCTTTCGCCGTTTTTTCTTTAAAAAAAAATTCACACCACCAAAAAAACAAACAAACAAACGAAAACGAAATAAAACAGCAACAACAAAAAAAAAAAAACCAATCAATCCAGCAGAATAAAAATCCAACAACAAAATGTCGGCATCATTCCAACTGCGAGCCAGCTCATGGATGAACGCAGTCAACTTGCGCTCTGTAGGACTCGTTGTCATTTTTATCTTGGGTGAGTACGGAAAATACAAGAACCGCTATCTGCTCTATCGGATGCCGAGAAGAGGCATTTTTTTTAGGCGATGTTGCAAACGGACTGGTGTTGGTCTGGGCTGACGTTTCTGGGAGTCTTGTTTTGCGAGTGTCTGGGAAGGGAGACGGGGGTGGGGAAAGGACGCTATATAATTATATAGAGGATTGTTATCGGAGAGATGGTGTGTGCGAGTGTGCGGTTTCACGGCGAAAGAGAGCCGCAGGAGAAATGAAACGCGAGCTTTCGCTAATCTTCCCCCTCCCCTCCTCCTCCTCCTCCTCTTCCTCCCTCCTCTCCGCCACAGCCTGCAGGTAGCGGCTCACCTACCGCACCTAGCTGTGCTTTGGGACTCCGCCCGCATATGACCAATAAATTGAAAAAGCGGATCATGGTTTTAGCGTGGCATCGTTCAAACGCGCCCACGCCCGCGCACACTGCATCAATCCCACGCCCAGGAGTGCAGATTGTATTGGTATGTAGCACAGGCGGATTGTATAGAAGCTTTTTCGCAGTGTTATGTGCAGTTGCGCGAATACCGTGCCTTGGGAGGGGGGGGGGACAATTTCTAACCCTTCCGTACAAGTAACCTTTCCGCATTCAGCTTCTCCCGAGTGCCCGTCGGCACCGGCCTCGTCCGCTACCCGAGCCCTATCGTCGCGTTGTCGTAACACGCCGCCCATAAATACGGGCGCTATCGATTTGTTCTCAGCCTGCGGCTTTCGCGCTGCGCTGCGGCCGGTGACGTCATAGCCGCACATCTGCAGCCACAGCTGGGCCGGCCGGTATTACAGCGGCTTTTCATTCTTGCTCCGAAAGGGGGCGTGCTTTTAATCCTTTCACGAGAATTAAGGCTACGACAGCACCTGCTGCTGCCTACTTGAGATCTCTCCGTGATTTTATTCTACTGCTGTTAGAGCGACTGTGTAGTTTATTTTGGCGGGCACTGGGCATCCTGGGATTATAACGGACGAGGCCGGTGCCGACGGGCACTCGGGAGAAGCTGAATGCGGAAAGGTTACTTGTACGGAAGGGTCAGAAATTGTCCCCCCCCCTCCCCCCAAGGCACGGTATTCGCGCAACTGCACATAACACTGCGAAAAAGCTTCATGGGACTGTTACTGGGCAGCGGAGCACATTTAGCAATAGACCGCTCCAGCTCCGGTATTCAAGGGAACGTTTCCGCAGGTCTGTCCTCCCGGCGGCTGTCAGGGTGTAGAACGCTGCCCTAGGCTGGGACTGCTAGCCCTTCATCTGCTCCTCTATGGACAGCATGTTTACTCCATTGTACTTTTTGGACAATCAGTCTGTATAAACCTATGCACATTTTGCACATATTTTATTGTTTTTATAGTGACTATAATCAGGACATTTTGCACACACCTATGTACTTATTTATTTTTATTTATCTTGTTTGTCTTTTGTTTTATAACTATTCTGATGTCTGTTTTGCTTGTCTTGGGCTGGACTGCTGTAACACATCAATTTCCCTACGGGATTAATAAAGTATTATCTATCTATAAACTGGTTTGGGAGGGGGGGGGTATTGTAATGAGAAACTGCACCTCTGCTGTCCAGTTATTGTTTTTCACTGCTAATTCGTAATGCAGAACGAGAAGAGAGAGGAAAATTCTGTAGATACAACGGGTGTGTGGCGTTGTGGCTTTGAGCGACGCGTCCGGTGTTACATTATGAGAAAACTGAGGGAGAAGGGTTTCAGCCCCACGTCGTAATGTGGAATTGGTCGAGTAGTTTCCCCCAGGGTCTCGGAGACCATATGGACTTTGAAGCCACACGGATGACGAGTTCCACGCGTGGTGTGATCCACGCCAGAGACAACGCGCGCTCTCGCCCCGTCTGCTGCGGGCAGGCACGGTTCTGTGCGGGTGGAAAAGTTAGTCAGGGAGAGGGTGAGACAGGGTCCAGATCTCAGCCCCGAGGAGAGCTCCGCGTGGATAAATGAACACCGGCAGTGATTAAGAAACAGGTGGCTGAAAGGCGACTAGCTCAAAAAAACAAATCAAGCGGCGTGATGATGCACAGCATCAGAACCGCCCCTCTCTAAAATCAGCCGTACCACAGTCATTGCCCCCTAGTTTTTCTTTGTTCGATTCAGAGGATTAGACTTTATTAAGCCACGTTGTTTGCGAAATGCAAATCGGTAATCGTAAAGAATTCCTCCTAGGTTTTGGGAGTGCAAACGGGCTATATATGTGCTAGTTTTGAAACCAAAGCTGTACTTGGTTCTGAACTGCAAAGGGACACTCTTAAGAGCGGGGGCCGTGCAGACCATCTTGATTTCAAGTACTTCTAAAGAATCCGGTCAGCTCAGACTGACGACTTATCATCCCGCTGGCAGAGAACCAAGCTAGGACCATCTTCTGAAGAGCGCATTGTGTAACACTGTGCTTGCGTGAATGCCCAATCTGACCACTAGAGGTCACTAGCTCCACGTGTGCCGCTCTCTGCATGACATTGCAATAAACCGCAAGTGGACCCCCAGCTGTAGAGGATCAATCTGGATTCTTATAAAACGAGTCTGCAGCAGACTTTTGAACCAGGAACCTCCTGCCCCTGAGACAGACACGATAAACTTCACTCAAAGGGGAGATTCTGCAAAAAGCAGGTTTGCAGTTAGATTCCTGCGTAGTGGAATAGTTTTAAAATCTGCTTTGTTGCCAGTTTCTGTGATTTGCGCACTGGATTTGCACTGTTTTCACCTTGAGGCAGTGTGAAGAGAAGTAGTACACATCTGTATGTACTGTAACCCCAGCAGTAGTATGGCGTGGTAGTTATGGCTTTGTATTTGTAACTCGAAGGTTGTGGGTTCAAATGCCAAATGTAACACTGCTGTCATACCCTTGAGTAAGATACACCTCAAAGGTTCCAGCTGTATAAAAGGGTACAAATCTACATTGCTTTTGGATAAAACCCCTGCATGGAATTTGCATGTTCTCCCTGTGTTCGTGTGGGTTTCCTCTGGGTGTTCTGTTCTAGGGACATTGCAGTCCTGTAGGAACGGTGCAGTCCTGTACGCTGCAGTTCTGCAGTAGTCTTATTCATCTTGATCGCTCAAGGATCTGACAAATGTGTAGTGACTGCTTTCCTTAACTACAGTGATACACAAATGTACAGAATATGAACTATATGTATATTCTGCCAGACTGAAAACTCTCCAGTGGGCCTGCATGTTTAAATAGTTCAATACCAAGTGGATTGGTTAACATCCTGCAGGAAACAATTTTAAACCCAATGCAGTAGCAGACAATTGGAAGGAAAACGCAAGTGTCTTAAAGCACTGACAGCACCCCGACACAGGGCTTGAATTGTGTACTGCAGGCTCACCGCCCTGGCAGTCTGTCCCATATGAAAGCATCCTGGTTGAGCACCTGTACTGACTGTGCACCCGTACTGTCCGAGCACCCATACGTGCTGAGCCATATGTACTGACTGAACACGCATACTGGCCGAAAACACGCGTACTGGCCGAACACGTACTGACTGAGCATCTGTACTGACTGAGCACCCGTACTGGCTGAGCACCCATCCTGACTGAACACACGTACTGGCCGAGCACCTGTACTGGCCGAGCACCTGTACTGGCCGAGCACCTGTACTGGCTGAACAGGTGTACTGGCTGAACACGTACTGACTGAACACACATACTGACCGAGCACCTGTACTGGCCAAGCATGTATACTGACTGAACACCTGTACTGGCCGAGCACCTGTACTGGATGAACATCACGGAGCAATAGAGCTCCTTCCCTGATCTTTTACATATATGGATGTTAAACACAAGCCACGTCGGGACCGACTGTGCCTGCGATGTGTGTACGAAAGTGTGGGAGGGAGGCATGTGTCATTATTGGCTTTGCGTACATGCGCCAGTCCACACGTGTGCATCAGCCTGTACAGATGTGTGGCAATCTTCAAAGACGGGGTGCCTCTGCTGTGATGCTGCTGCTCAGCTGCTCTGCAGAGTGCGTGTCCGTGAGAACAAGGATGTGACAGTACGGCGCGTCTGTCGGTGGGCCTGCTGTGTGGTGCGCAGCGCTCTGCTTTGCCTTATTCTAATGACCTTGGGTTTCAAAAAGAGAGGGGTGGGAGGGGGAGCCGTACTGCAGTATTTTATTTCGCTCACAGGGCTCACTGTGGGAGCCGTCAGTGGGTCAGGATTCAGAATTGCAGGCCAGACACGAACCTTTCTGAACAGCAGATCCACTTCACGTTGTAAAGGGGGGTGGCTGGGTTGGGGTACGTAGGGGTGAGAAGCGAAACAAACTTTTTTCCAAGGGCACTGTTCCCAGTCTCACCCTTGGCGTCCAGATTCGTGCTGTTATGAGCAAGTGATGGATCTCATTTACCCCTTTGGAGACACTGCAGATATCCATTCCCCGATCCTCGGTGCTGGATAGGTCGTATACATGGCAGTGTGTGTATAGGATGCCTACAGTCTGCAGTGTTGCTGTAGCCAATAGAGAGGACAAAAAGACAGAAAGTTTGGTTCAATAAAGCTCAGCTCTGAGATTCGTACAAATGGCTTTTTATATCCCTGTGTGAGTAACAAGCAGCCAGCCTCCTGTGCTTTCTTATCAAGACTAAAACACTGTTAAAAAATGCATACAGCATATAGAATGGAGGTATATTTAACCAACACAGAAAGAATGTGTCCTAGAAATGCACAAAGGGCAGTGGGATTGTAGAACAAGCTACGCAGACGTGGATGAAAGCCGATACCCTGGCTTTGTTCGGGAAACAGCTGGATGAGATCCTTTGATAAACTAGCTAGGAAGGAGAGGAACTGAGAGAACACAGGGGACGATCTGAGAGAAC